TCGGCCACCCTCCCTGGGGGCAAAAGACTTAGCCCTTATTTCCTAGTATCTGTCTCTTATTTTGCTCTTTACTTATGTTTGGAGTTTGTCACATAAAAGAAATCCATGTGATATCCGAGCTTGAATACTGTTTTAGCTCTGCTAGTATTATGGTCTCAAGGTGAGTCCATTTTCTAACAAATAGTTCAAGTTTAACCTTCTTTACAGCAGAGTAGTACTCCATTACATCAAATTTTGTAAAAAAAATATTATAAAAGGAGAGGTGTGGTCCACCTAAAGTAATGTTCCTACTTCACAGATAAGTGAGACACACATTAACACACACACACACACACACACACACACACACAAGCAATTTGTAGTATGTTATGTATGGGGCTGGGTAGGGAACCTGGAAAACCTCAACTTTTCTCTGAATAATCAAATCAACAGATACATAGGTCCAAGTTCCTTCCTATCCTTTCCCAAGGCCTCTGTAACAGTAATTCAGGCTGCACAGCATTGCTGAGGATTCCAGATATAAACAGTAAATCAGACATGAAAATAAAATAGCCTAGGTTCAAATCCGAGCTCTGCTACGGAATAAAGGGTAGCTTTCTACTCCGACCTCTTTTGAGGCTCAGTTTCCTTCTCTGCAAAATGGGGATGAGATGATTTCATGCTAGACATGGTGTTATGGGGTTAAAACAAATAATATATGTGAGGTGCTGGTACAGAGTTGGGGCACAGTGGGAAGAAAGGAAGAAATGCAGCCTTCTACCTATAAAACGAGCCTATGATTTGTCGCAAGAGCCCTGTTGTGTGCGACACGGCCCCAGAGTATACGCAGGTTTTGGGGTTGGATGACACGTGAAGGCTATGGATTGTGAGTCAGTGCAGATTGAGTCCAAGGCCAGGGGGCAAACCCAGTGCCTTCCCTGCCACGGCCAGTGTCCTCTGCTGTTCAAAAGTAGCCAGAAGAGCCACGGTCCTACTTTGCAAAACAAAACAAAACAAAACACAGAAAGAAATTGAACTCAAGTGAAATAGAACGGCTCATTGCGTGTGTGTAGCCCTGTAAACTGCAGAGAAGGTATGATCACAGGTCACACACCCCCAGCACGGAGCACTGTTAGACTAAGCAAACACAAAGTCAAAAATAGCTGGATCCCCAAGACGACAGCAAGACCAAGACCATGTGGCGTTTGTTTAAAATTAAAAAGGAAAAGAAGATGGCACTTCATCTCTTTTGATCCTGAACCAACCGAATTTAAAACGAGTGGAACCAGATTTAATGGGAGAGGAGGAGCAGGCTCCACTTCCAGTTGGCCGTGGAGAAGCATTCCGGCTGGAGGGGCACACACACAGGCGAGAAATGTGAGACTCGATTAATTTCCCACAAGGTGCATTAAAGTTGACAACGGACCCACTTGAAACTAAACCTGAACAACAAAGGATGGAGAAAGAAGTGATCTTTCAGCCAAATGTATAGTGACAAGATCTGCAACAAATCATCGGAAACACATAAATCAGGATCTAAAAGGAGAGGAGCTGGACGTGGAACTCAGTTTTAAAAACTAAATCACAAAATTAGTTAAAATATGTGAAGCATGACCTCAAGTTAACTCTCCAGCTTGGAAATCACTGAAATAAATGACCATTGAGAAAAGAGAAAGTGGGGAATATTTTATTTTCAGTAATGAGTGAGATTCCAAAAGCAAAACCAACCCGGTCCCTCGCAAATGCTCTAAAATAGGCAATACCCATGACAAAAAAGAGCTTGTTTCATTTTGACAAGATTTTAAGTACTCGAGTAAATCCAACTGGAATACCCATCACAGATTTTGCAAAAGTAATAAACCTGACACAGTAAAAGAAGTCTCAGGAAATCCCTACTTCCAAACTATTGCAAATAAGAAGAATCGGGACTTGTTGCTGCGTGGATTATTCAACTGGAAATGTGAACAAAATGCAGTTAAAACTTGCTTCAAATACTGGTTATATAACCATAAAATTCTTGTTTAGTCCTTATTTAAAACTCAAAGATCAATGACATGCAAATTCAAATCTTTCCCTGCAAGTGTTCAAGAATTGCTATTTCCTCACCAATCCCTTTCACATTCTTTCTAGTCTAGTGGGTAAATATGTATTCATATTATCAGCTGTCAGAATGACAGAGTTCTCCATAATTAACTTCACGTTAGCTCCCCAAGGGGAAAAAAGAACTAGATCTAAAGAAAAAAGACAAGAGCCAGAATCCTTTTTCTTATGAAAAATAAAAACAGTAAGATCCTATTACCTTCTTTGATAAACAATTAATTAAAGGATACATGGGGGAAAGAACATCTTTTAAAGTCTTAATGGATTCAAATAATTAAGAGTTAGGCAGTAGAAATTTTAGGAGTTAAGAAACATCTTTGTTTCACTTTTAAGCTTTTTAACAGAATATGTAAAGAGCTGTAAAAATGAAAGTACTGTAATATTGAAGGTCAACATCAGTCGGAGAAAGAAAAAGAAATTCAGAGTTAAAACTAAAATGTTCTATCTCAACTTCCCATCTTGACATTATCTGCATTTTCCATATATTTAAATACATTATTAATTCAAAGTCATTATCACCAGAATTCAGATTTTTAAAAAATCTGTGTGAAAAGGTTGAAGTCATTGGAACTTAGAAGCCAATTTATTTTTCGCTTATTTCAAAAACAATTTATTTCCGAATTTCTAAAGCAAATAATCCCCCAGGTGCTTCCTGCCAGTGGCAAAGAATATTCTATTTAGGGACAACACCATGGAACCACACATTTCACCCTTCCCTCTTCCTGCTGGCTTCCAGTGGGTTACTGGAAACACTGGTTTGAAATTAAGAGTTCTGATGAGACAGGCTTCCTACGCCTGTTGATTTATTTCCTTTATTTACAAGCATAAATCTCCATATGATAATGGAAGAGTTTATAAAGCCACAGAGATTCGGATCTGAAATGGAAATTTATTTTAGTTTTGTTTAGCTCAGGTTTTTTATTTGTCCCAATTCTGCTGACGCCCAAGCCCTATTTTGACATGACTGTGTCTTTATTTAGGATGAGTTTGAGGGTGAGGGGGCTCAGTTTGGAAAGGGCCATGTCCCAGACAAGCAGGTATTTGAGGAATGAAATACCTGTTGAAGTTTGTACTTTCCCCAAAAGCTGGCTGTAATCTAGAGTCATCAGGGCTGCTGTCATGACCATGTATAAATCTATTTAATAGCAAGCTGAACCACCCGTTTTTTGAAACTTGACTTCTATCTTGTTCCCTGGTTTCATCTGCGAATAGGTTTGGACTATAAAATCTTTAAGTTAAAATAAGACCACATGCTTTATGTAGGTGGACTGCTTTAAGCCTCTGCTTTAAGCCACGAACAAATCAAATATCCCTTTGGGGGCAAGATCTAGATATAGTCAGGTCACTTCGGTGGTGCCTACAAGCAAAACTAATCCCTTCTCCAGCATCACCTTTCAGGGGGAGGAAATCAAGTTTTATTGTTTGTAGAACTGGCCATGCCTTTGGTATCAAAAATAGGTGCTTAGTATGAAAAGTCAGAGGGGTTGGCAGCAGGAGGCAGAAAAATCTGGGCTATCAGCAGAGAGTAGAGATGACATCCTGCTGGAAAAGGATTGTTGTGTTTAATTAATGTCTTTTCAACGAACTGAAGTTGATATCATTACACGTTTTTAAAATGTTTTCCTGATTTTACCAAAGGGTTTCTAAAAACAGTTTCTTGGAACCACAGACAGGCACAAAGCCATTACGGCTCTGGGTGTCTCCGGTCACGCCAGGCAGGATGTCACAGGCTCCTCAGTCATTAGAAAGGGCCCTGAAGACCTCTTTGACAGGCTAGAGACTTCCATTTGGGGGCACGCAGGTGGCAGACAAACCAGCTGATATGATCTCGGTGTTACATTTGCTGTTGGAAAATGAACAGTATTTTAAGGACAGCTTCGAGTTATGTTTACAATTTGAAAGGTGGTAACTTATTTAAGCCCCTGCGATCAACTGATGCAAGCTTTTCTTGGAACACGATTTTAGAGGTATCTATTAACAGGTTAGAGGCACATACCCCTTAGACCTCAAAGTCCACTGTGGGCATTTATTCGACGTATTAGCACAGCGCTGCGTACTGCAGCATTGCTTGTGATAGCAGTAAACTATCACAACTTCCATGTTCATTGGGAAGGGCAGGAGTTGGTCAATAGGGTTGCATTCAGCTGATGGAAGAGTTTTATGTTGCCATAAAAATTCAAAAGTCTATGAATAGAGCTCAAGAATTAAATTAAGCAAACTGAAAAGCAGAATAGATAGCATAAGACTGCATTTGTGCTTTAAAAAAAAAAAGATCAAAATAGACGCTTACATTGCTTTCAAAAGTGCTGAAAGAATAAAAGAGAAACAGAATTAGTTATGCCTCGGGCTAGAGGGAGAGGAGTTATCGGTTTTATTTCCGCACCCTGTGCCCTCCCAAACCGACTGGGTTTTTAACCATGTGCACGCCACTGCTTTGGGAGCACGTGAACATTTGGCGAGTTGGGAAAGGCTGTGTTTACCCTGCACTAACAACAACCGCACGGATGCTCCGTTAGGAGACGGCCACCACCTCCCGGCCCCATCGCTTTTACAGCAGGGTAATTTCAGGCTACGTGGAGCGCTTAACCCGTTCGGCCCCAGCAGGGCCGCGACGCGGGCTCCGCTCTCCGCACGGCCTGCACCGCGCCTGGACGTGGGCTCGGGCCGGTCCGGTCCGGTCCGGTCCGCGCTGGCCGCGCCCGAGGCCTGGGAGCCGGCGAGCTCCGGGGAGCCGCCACGCCGCACCTGGCCGGCCGCACCGGCCCTGGGCGCGTCCCCGTCCCGCGCGGGCCCCGCCGGAGCTCGGCTCTGCAGCGGGGACGCAGACGATCGCGCGGTCCTCCTCCCGCGCGCACACGCGTGGCTCTGAGTCCCCCTTCACTAGTTCCCAGACACAGCCGCCGCCGCCCGGGTTAACTCACTTGTGCCCTTGCACATGGAAATCAAGGTCAAGTCCCTTCCCAGTCTCTGGCGCAGGAGAGAGCCTGCGTTTTGTGCCTCCCAAAGCTCTGTTCTGATGCGTCATTAACCTGCTAATTAAATGTCAAGCCTTTTGGAAAAATTCGGGTTTGAAGGTCTGCAGCTTAAAGAGTCCTTTTAAGCCTGAGCTGTTTACTCCCCTAAACTCTGAAACGTATTCATCACACTTTTTTTTTTTTTCACAAATCGACGTTTTTGCTCTAACAGTGATCTGAGGCTTGGACTACACTGTCAACAAGTAAAAACTTGTCGTGTGGCCGGCCGGCCGTTGCTGCTAGGAAAGAAGCCAGTCGATTTAAAGGAAAAGCAACGCATCTTGGACCAGGTAATGCTTGTCTTTCTTAACAATCTCTAACTGGTTCTTCAGATATTTATTTACAATGTAAATGAAGGCAAGGGCTGTGATTTGCATGTGCCAACCGGAAAGCTAACTTTTCAAGTATTTTCTCCCAGTTCTTCCTGCTTAAAAAAAAAAAAAAAGTAGCAAGAAAAGTAAATAACAATGAAACCCCCACATTCACTCCCAGAGTCCTTTGTGGTTACTAGATGGAGAAATATCATTAGAAAATAGAGGGAGAGGTTCTTCTGTCTAAAAGTTTGGGGGCTTGTCTGTGTCAGTAGCTAAAACTGCGTTTTCCTGTATTGGAAGAAACTGAAAAATACTTGCCTAGTTTTGTAGAAAGTCCATATTAATGATCTCATATTTTGTCAACCTTTCCGGCTTTGGGGCTCTTAGAAGGTGCTGTTAACAGACCTCAGAACTGAAGTTGCTTTATTTCTCCTGCCACTTGAGAAAAATGTTTGCCGCAAAGTCCTAAAACACTTAAGTTTCTACAAATCAGCCTGGAAATGTCTAAATGTGTTTTCCCTAGAAAAAGTGCCAGACATCAATTTTATCTGGCAACCATCAAAAGGCATCAGACCACAAAAACTATACATTCCTGGACCTCACAAGGAGCTCAGCAGGGAACTGCATGAGCCAACCAAAGTGCTCAGGCTACAGTAGCTGCCCTGCAGTCCACAACATGGGCGACAGCCCTGACACCCACCACTGCTCCCAAGAATGGGCAGCAGCAAACCCAAGTGGCATAGAAAACCAAAAAAGTCATGAGGAGAACTTTCAAATGCACTTTCGTATCTTTAGTATTTTTAAAAAATTACATAGCATTCTTTTCTTTTTTTGTGTCAGGGTCTCGTCATATATTCCAGGCTGGCCTTGAATTCACTCTGTAGCCCATGCTGGCTGGCCTCAGACTTGTGGCAATCCCCCTGCCTCAGCTCCCAAGTGCTGGAATTGTATTTCTTAACTCATTATCACACTAAGCTAACTTTAATCAAAGCAAGCAGGAAGCCCATGTAAATGGAATTTTTATTTGCATCTGTACTGTTTTATGAGAAACAAATGACGTAAGCTGTGGGAACTTAGGTAAAAGTAGTCTCCCGGAATGTCAAGGTGGGTGTAACTTCTGTGACGAGGGTACGTGTACTAGTAGCTGACTGACACTGTGACCACGCAACAGGTCGTGACTTTAGAACCATGGTCTATCAGATAATCGTGTACTCAACAGCTCTTAGGAAGACTATGGTGGGGACTTGGGGCCTCAAGGTAGGAAGCCACAGGACACGGGTGCAGACAGAGTGCAGGACTGGTGGTCAGAAGGTGTTTGCTTTTTACTGCACTTTTCCACTTGGTTTTTGAGAGCCACACTACATGTCTTCCCTTGGCAGAAGTTTTAAGATGTAAACTGTAGCAGTGCGGAGGGCAGAGGGAAGTCACAACCCGGGGATGGTGGCTGCAGCCTGCCTCTGAAGTGGAGGGTGCCTCGCTTGTTCCCTCACCTCCCAGCAGTTCTGGGTGGCACTTTTGTGGCTTTCCCAGATTCCTCCTGGCCCTCTGCCTGCCACTGTCACTACCTCGGGCTGCAAGGACCCCTTCTGGGTCACACTCCCGTGGCTCTCGAGTTCTGACCTCCAGGGTTAAGGTAAAAGGCCAGTAGCCAGTTAGTTTTAAAGTTGTGATGAGAGTGTGCTTCTTTGTTGTGGCCGTAGGTCTCTGACTACTCTACTTTCAGTGGAGTAAAAAGTGTTTAATGGATTTGGACATAAACTGTGACTGCCCCAGTGATACCGGAAGCCCAGTGTTCTAGAAGTGATAAACTCACCTCACGCCTCTGTGCCCGCATTTCAGGCAGAGGATGGAGACAATGACAATGTCATGTTTTTGTTTGCTCATTTATGCTCACAGATCCCAAGCAAAGTCCAGGGAGCACGTTCAGAAACCTTCATCTGGAGTCTTGTCCCACCGGGGTGACCCCCACACTGCCACCAAATCTAACCCTGTCACTCCTGCGCTCTGCGACCTTCTATGCCTCCTCCCTTCCCAGGTAAGGGAAGGGCTGCCCTGTTCCCACCATCGAAAGTTTATCAGGCAGGCCAGGTCCTTCTCTAAATCGTTATGTACTGCAAAGCTGTCCTGATAAAAATTAAAAATCAACCCATCTCAGGTCAAAATCCTCTTCTACCTCAGTCAGGCACAATGGTGAAAACTACACCCTCCCTTATCCCAAAACTTCACTTCCCCCAGTTTCATGCCGAAGTCAGACAGGGGCCTGAAATATTAAATAGAAAGTTCCAACATAAAAATAACTCATACATTCATCTGTAGTCCTGCAGATTGAATCCAGAGCCTTGCACTCTACCATTGAGCTATACACCCAACACTTTCTAAAATTACATTTTGAAGCAGGGTCTCACTAAATTGTCCAGGCTGGTCTTGATCTTGCAATCCTCCTGCCTCAGCCTTCCCAGTAGCTGAGATTACAGGCATGCGCTATCACACCCAGCATTTTATGGTAAGCTTTAAGCAACATTTATTAGTGTGGTTCTAATCATTCTTATTCATTTCAGTCTCATACTGTACCTATTCATAAATTAAATTTGATCACGGGTATGTACGTATTAGGAAAAATCACAGTACATGTAAGGGTCGGTGTTATCGATGGTTTTAAGAGTCTACGGGGCTGGGGTGTGGTCCCCATAGCAAAGGGGGAGCCCACTGCCCTGTGGTTGCTGTACACATGTCCCTGCTACACAGAATCTCCTAAGGAGCAGGAAGTTTTGTTCTAACTTTCTCCAAGACTCTCCCTGTGCATGGCACTGGCGGATGGTCAATAAATATTTTTGAATGACTTAAGAATGAAAAACTACATAAACGAGAGAGATAAACGGAAGAAGTTGGTAACACTAAAGTTTCTAATCTGGGTTGGAGTAGAAAAACTAAAACATGGACTGAAGAAAAAGAAGTGAACTGTGTTCAGTAATGCTGTAAATGAAATACATTTTTGCATGTTCTGTTTTTATTCAAAGATGTTAACTCATGAATGCAGTAGAGGATAACTGTCCATTAAAACAGCATTTATTCTGTGATTCTTAGTATAGAGAATTTGCGGTAGAGGGGTGGGGTGTGGTGGTGTGCTTTCCTAGAATCCCAGCACTTGGGAGGCTGAGGCAGGAGGATCACTGAGCCCGAGGCCAGTTCAAACTACATGACAAGACTTTGTCTCAAAAAAAAGATTGCCATCAAAAAAGACTAACCTAGAAATAGGCTGCATTCTAAAACAAGAGTTTGAAAATCAGTTGTCTGGAATTTGGAATGCAGTGTCTCTCACAAGCAAAATAAAACAGATGTTGAGGTATCGATGTATCACATAAAAGACTACTTAATTTGTAATATTTCCATAAAGCCTTTGTGTTGGATTGAAAATGGGTGGAAAATAGCACCATTAAATATTCTTGCCAATTAAGCACAACAGCAAACACCGGAAGTGCATGTGCCTGTCCTTAGTTTATCTGGAATATTGATAGTTTCAAAAGGCTGAGGACACACAGAGCCGTATTGGAAATGAGAAGGAACCCGCGGTCCTTCTGGAAGCTCTTGAGGTCAGCAGCCCGCACTTTAACTTACACCCCTTCACCTTTAGGCTCAAGACCTTTCCTTTTGGCTCACAAAGGACTCACACAAAGGAAAGAGATGGGGTTTTGCAGTACTTGGGGAAAAAAAACCTCTGGGGGACAAAGGGGAAGAAGGGCAGAATTAAAGTCTGCAAACATCCCAAATCTTTGCCTGAGGTCAAATTAGCCAAGCTAGGAGGAGAAAACAGCAGGGGTAGGTGGAGCCTGGTATGTATGGTGGTGATTACCGCCACTCATTAGGTATTTTTGTTTTTCTCTCCTTAGACACAGAAAGAATTGTGTAGCCTGGGTCTTTGATGTTGGGGTGAGACCATGTTATACCATGCTAGCAGGCACAGGATAATTAAATGTGGTAAGAGAGCCTCTAGTTTCTCAGAGGCTCAGTACTTAACTGAATCAAGGGTTTTGTTTAAAATGTGGGGTCTCCTTGTATTGCCCAGGCTGACCTCAAACACCGAAGTCTCCTGCCTCAGCCTCCTGAGTAGCTGGGAATGCAGGCACACACCACCATGCCTGGCTCAGCCTCGCTTGTTGAGTTACTAAGAAAAAGCTTCACTGTTGACACATGGTAGGCATATATGGATGTAGGAACCACTGTTATTTTAAGATATAAGTCACTGTTATTTTAAATCACCAAGAGTTCAGGACTGTTTGTTCTGCAGCATAACTAGCCCATTATTACTGATAAAGCATTCATAAAAGTTGCCTCGGACACAGGGAGATTGACACTTAGGTTCAATCTTTTAGACTGAATCTCAGACTCAATGAAGAGCTTCTTTCTGCCCATGCCATCTGAGAGCCTTTCCCTCTTCCCTGATACTGCATTAGTCCACCGTCTGCTGCTATAACAGAATGTCTGAACAATGGTGATTTATACAGAAAAGAGGTTTCTCTAGCTCACAGTTCTGGAAGTCTATGGTGCTTGCATCTGCCTGGCCTCTGGCGAGGGTCTCAAGTTGGAAAGGGGGGGATGCATGACTGGGGGAAATGCGGTCACACAGTGAGACAGAAAACAAGAGAGACCCCTGAGGGCATGGAGGAACCTGAACTCATTTATGATCCCGCTCACAATAACCGACCAAGCACTGGAAAAGCATTAATCAATCCCTCTTAGAGACTCCACGGTTACATTGGTAACTAATTTCACTTTGAGTGTCGGTAGGGACACACATGTCTGAGCCACACCAGCTATCAGGTCCGAGATGTGTCAAATTTCCAGACAGATCCAGGATAAGCCAGAGGCAGTGGCTTTACCCGGCTGAGGCAGGAGACCAGTGGAGTTCAGGAGTTCAAGATCAGCCTGCACAATGTAGCCAATACCCTGTCTAAAACCCAAACCAAACACAAACAAAAAACAGATCTAGCCCAAATAGGAAAGTTGGACAGACAGACGGGAGCCAAGATTCTTTTAATTTTACCAAATAATCTAAGAATTTCCTTAGTACATCTCAAGTGTTTTGCTTACTTTCTTTTAAAAATGAATTGCCTGACAGATTAAAAAAGAAAAGTCAATAACATCCCTGTGCTTTGAAGATCAGTCATACATTAGAATAACCTACGTAAACAACCTGCAAAAACATGTCATTTATCCACAGTTTCCTGGAGGCACAGCTGTTCCATCGGCCAGGGAGCCGCAAAGATGGCTTTCAGGTCCCTTCAAAACTGAAAACTCATCCAAAGGGCTCTTAGGATAATGGCCAGTACACAACCATGCCAGTTTCTCAGCACAACCAACATACCAGCCCAAGTCCAAACTCTGATTACAGGGTAGTGTTCAAAGACGACCCTGTAAACACGAAACTCTTCTAACTAAAAGTGTAGCCAGCCAGCTCGAGTTGTGAAGAAGTCCAGAGTTAAGCAGACGATTTGGGGCAATTTTTTTTTTTTAGTGATTGGTTTTTTGTTGTTGTTGTTTTGTTTTGTTTGTTACTGCAAAGAGGTAAAACCTATACAATTGTATCAAAGGAATATGGAGCTTGCTGCTCCTCCACCTCCTCCTGCCCCGGCTGCTTTCACATCTGGGCAGATGAGGCTCCTCTCTGGAGAGGACCAAAAAGGAAGAAAGCTCCAGAATCTTACAGATGCAATAACTGAGGCCCTAAAAGATTCATTGTCTGGCTCAAAATCAAACTACCAGAAATGGGCTCAGCCTTCCTAAGCCCTGTTCGGGGCTATGCCACTGCATTCCTTTCCTCAGCATGGACTGGGTGCCAGTTACCCCATCTTGCCCAAAGCGAACGCCGGTCTTCAGAGGAAGCATATGTCTGTGATACCCAAAGGCCCAAACTCTGGACAGATTGGAGCCTGCAGACCAGGAAGGAAGTCCTCCTGTCACCCTACCCCCACCCGTCCCTCCTCAACCCTCCCTGCAGTGGTCTGACCTGTGCTCCCCGCCCTCACTTGGTCCCATTTTCCAAAGGGCCTCCGAAGGGAGGAGTAGCCTCCTTCAGTTACTCTCATGTCTAAAGCTCTCCTTGGTTCCCCCCAGAATAAATCCTGAGGTCCTCAGCAAGACCCGCACTACCAACCTGCTCATCCCCTAGCAGCGCCTGCTCCCCTCCAGCCCACAGCCAGGCCCTCCCTCACCAAGCATCTGTAGACCCCTGCCAGCCCCATAACGCGCAGACTCAAGGTCCCCTCCTGAGAGGCAGGCCGATGGCACTGTTCACTGGTGACGATTTACTGGTACTGCCAGTACCTTAATCATATCGGACGGCCTCTGTACCACCTGGCATCTGACGATGCAGAGCACGGGCTTGGACCACGAGTGCCCGACGCAGAGAATGTAGTATTTGACATATCCAAGCTTCAATTTTATTTTAGATAAATGGGGTAATCTATACCTGGCCAGGCTGTTGTGTGGATTAAATGGAATGCCTGTGTAGGACATGGGACATATTAGATTAATACCCATGTGTCCCTCTCCCCTCCATGTCCTCCTGTAGAGAGGATAAGAGCTCCCTTCATGGGAGAATATTCTTCTCTGTTGCCCTGTTGAGCAATATAATAGGCACTCAATAAACATTGCCAGAAAGGAGGGAGAGAAGAAAGCGAATGGAAAGGGAGGAAAGAAAGGAACAAAATGAAAACAGCCAGAAGCCAAAGAGACCTTGATCTACTAGAGCTCAGTATGGGTGCGAATGCTGCTGTAAAGTTTGCCAGTGTCCAGTTCTCCCCAGTTAACAAGCTCTGAAAAGACACCTGCAGATACCACTGCGTAACAAGCAAGACACTTAATCCAAAAACTGCTTGCTCCGCCACAGAAGGGAATTAGCCCAATACGGATTGGCACACATTAAAAGGGGTGGGGGTCCTTAGATTGTTCATTATTTTATGCTCTAAACAAAAGGCTGAATAAATTGGTCTTACTGTAGTGAGAGCCCAGTAACTGAAGAGTTAGTATCTAGAGCGGCGCTGGTGTTAACCCAGCCATCTAAGAGGAAGGATCTAACTTGTAGCACCTGCCAATTTCTGTGGTGTAAATATTTACACCACGGCTGGTGCAATCTACCTAATAATCTGTCCATCGTGAGTCAGCTCACAAAATCTCTCCAAGTGCTTGATGATTGGCTCCAGGAGGCCCTCGGCTTCCCAGTGACTGTCCACCACCTCTGTCTTCTCACTTTTGCTGGAAGTCACTTTATTAACAAGACAAGGAGAATAAAATGAACAGGAAAGCAGCTATTTTTTTTGTCAGGGGCTCTAGCCATGGAGATAAAAGATGAAAGGGGAGGAAGTTGGAAATATTGGCTGTATGTTTTTATGGGTTTCAATGATCCCGTTCTCTCTAACCTTTATTACTTTATTACTAAAGATAACGGAGAGTAGATGAGCTAATCCCACGTGCAAACCACAGACACAGTTTCTGTCCAAATCTAATGGTCAGTACCTAGAGCCACAGAGAAAGAAGCGATGCTGGAAAGCTAAGAAGGGTTAAGTTATAAATTTGGCAGCAGGCATGTGTGCTGGAGGCTGAAGCAGGAAGACCCTGAGTTTGAGGCCACCCTGGAATGACACACCAAGGCTGGTGCTCAAGAAATCAAGAAAAGAAGACGAAAAAGAAATAAAAATGTGGCAAAAGAGATGTTCAAATGGGAAGTCAAACAACTGTGGGTACAAAAACATGGAAAATATTTTTCTGCGTGTTAAAGATCATGTAGCACTCTAAACCGAAATCTAAACAGGGAAGGGATCACAAACTCACAGAAGGGAAAAAGCATTTAGCAACGTGTTTTTATCTTAACACCGCTAGAAACTGAGATGATTTAGGAAAATTTATTAAGTTTCATGATGGCTTAAAAAAAATCATTGCAGCATAGCAAAGGGACTCCTTGGGTGGCGTCCACGCTCGGACAGGAGAAGAAAGCAGCTGGCAGTGTGTCTTCGCTGTCCCTGAGACCCCAGCTTGACTTCCCTGATCTGTATCTCAGAGGCAAAGCCAGGACCACAGTACCCCATCCCAACACCCGGCCCTCCCTGCTGCAGGGCAAGACACTGTCTATAAGTAAAGGGTACAAAGTGAGAGTTGTCTGGAAAAGCAGTTTTATTTTTATGGTTCAGTAAATGTTTACTGAAGTGAGTCTCATCCTCCTGGATGGAGCTGGGGAGGGGCTGGCAGGCGCAGCGCCGGCTCCTAGAACTCTCTAAAGCATTTGGGAGGACAGGACTTTTACCCCAGCAACGACTGTCACTTTTTCTTAGTGCAAAGTGAAACAACTCAAGCCACAGAGAGGAAAAACTGGAAAAGAAAAACATTGCATGTGTAAAAGCGGACCGGACACAGAGGGCCACTCTCATGGACGGACAAGAAACAGACGATATTTTTGTTCCTCCTGGAAATACAACCAAAGGAAAGAATCTCTTGACATCTTAAAAACATGAAAAGTGTACCATTTCAATACCCTAAGGAAGTCAGAGAGACCAAGAGAGTTAATCTTTTGGTATTCAAAATCAGTCAGTGACCCAATTCTAGAAGAATATAATTCCCTCTTTCACTGGACAACTTTATGATACAAAAGTACATAAGACAGACAGAGACTAACTATGCCCAAGAGCAGACAAAAGCCAGGTGAGGGCGGCAGGACACACAGGCACATGGGCACAAGGGCATCGCGCTGTCCTCCACACTAAAACAGCAAATAGATGAGGAATGCTGAAGAATTAAAGTTAACACAAAACTCTTGTGCGGATCAAGACACTGAAACCCAGCAGAGCAGCTGATTCTTCCAGGTGGGCAGGGCAAGATCCCCAGACCTAGAAGTATCCTACCTGCTATGCCAAAAGCTTGGTTCCAAATCCACAGGGGGGAAAAATGTGATGTTAAGAAAACCACAGTAAGAGCACTGATAATTGTAGCAAAGGATGGAAATGTGCAGCTTTTATAAATGCCAACCCTAAGATGAAGAGATCTTTCTGAGCATTTATAGCTGCTAGTTGGCTGGGTATGCGTGAGTGTACAAATCTCCAGACCTTTCCCTGCAAGTCATCTGCAGTAAAACAGAGGAACTAAACTACGAGCTGAATAGTGGCTGCAAGCGTTAAAAATCCTGGGATGTTAGTACTGGGGACAGGCAAATATAGGTCTCTGAGGAAGTAAAGGGCCTAGAGCAATGATGGCAAACCTTTTAGAGCTTTCGATGGTACAGACAGCCCACTGTGCCATGCATACCCAAAGGTTTGCCGTTATCAGCCTACAGCAGTATTCGGTCCAGCTGTTCAACAGATGCACGGTCACTCACCCCACCTGTTCTGTGCCTAAACCCACAACCCAAAAGGGCACGGCCGGAACTCGGACATTCCATCCCTCGGATTGCTTACTAGATTATGACTCTGTCTCCTACCATCCTGACAGGGTACAATTTTCTAAAAGCAGAGAAAATCCTTTCCAAGAAAACAAACACTCCCGAACAACTGGCCCATTCTGTTACCTATTTGAATTACATAATTCCGACCAAGTCAAAACCTTCATATGGACACACCAGAAAGAACTCGTGGCTCGTGACAAGCCAAATGGCCTTTTTCTGCACTCTCCAGAATCCTAAAAAATTCTGTGCATTTCTAAAAAGCAGCCACCAGTGCCCACTGAGATGGTAATGAAAAGCTCCACTGTCTTTCTTCTGCTTGGAACAGAAATTCAGATCAAAATATTTTCAAGTCTGTGGGGATATAACCGACCCTGTATATGACATTTTTCACTACTATTAACAATAATAAAGATCTTAGTAATGCCCCAGTCGGCCCTGCACTGAGTAATTTTCCAGTTTTATTACGAAGAAATTTCAAAAGTGTGTATCTTAACTTTTTATTCCACTCCATGTAAAACCAGGCTGTCAAATGGAATCATTTAGCATCCATCAGGCAAAAGGGTCAGCCTCTGTCTACCAGTTCTCATCCCGGTTGCTAGGGGACCCCCATTTTAGGAGGGGGGGAGACCCAGAGCTAGGGTGACTAGATCCCACAGAGAACAGCAGTAATTAAGGTATCTCCACTCTTCCGGTGGAGGGAGCAATAAAAAGCCTTAGGATTCCTTTTATAACCTGCTCTAACTTGTTCATCAGGATCAGTGCAGAAGTATTCCCCTCCTATAATCCTGGACTTTGCTCACTGAGGCCTTGCAAAAGATTAAATGAGATAATACATGCAAAATGCTGAGTCAGAGCCTGGTGCACCGAGGATGAACTCAATAAATAAAATGTCACACATTGTAAACAAACAAAACAAACACCCAGATTGTTTCCTGATACCTATCAACTTTGTTGGAACCCGGAGGACTGAAGCATGAGGAAATCAGTTTCCTGGCACACTCCGGACAAGTCTGGGCTGTCCTCTATCTTTAAGTCACTGGCTGGCAAGGTGACAGAACCTCCCAGGACCCACAGGTACTCAAGTCCTGCCACTGACTCCTCCCTCCCAATAACTAGGAAAATGGAAATGTTTCAATTAGGGAGAACAAAATGCAAAAGAACTTGAAAGAAATCCTACAATGTAGGGATCTTGTAAAAGCTTTGCCAGACAAACATTGAACCCTAGACAAATGGAATCTGAGTATCACAGACCAGACTGTGAAAGTCTAGCTCTTCAAATTTGAGACTACAATAAACGCTTAAGACATACCCAGCAGCCTGCCCATGTTTGGCTCTTCGGTTTGGATGCAGGGTATGTTTTCTTTCTTTCCTTCCAGGCCCAAAACTTTTGTGATTTTAAGTTCTCAATAAAAGTATGGGCTATAATGACCAAGTTCTCTTATAATTTGTAGTTGAACTTTCCATTCACTCAGGGTCCACACAGAATAGACCGGGTTCACCTTTCTTGATGACATGATCTGGTATTTAGCTATGGCAGGCAATTTTGAAAAGGCAGAATGAGTGATGTCAGGATTCCCAGAAAAGATAGCAGGTTCCTAACAGTCACGAGACTGTAGCAAAAAGAGAAAGTGGCCATAAAACTTCCAATTTTTATTTAGTACTATGTGTACTCAGCTTGTAAAAGGCCAGGCCGAGACACCATCTTTGTAGTTTCTAAGCCACATTTTTGGAAACAGGAAGGACCTCAATGCAATGCCTGTGCAACCTGCAAAAGACCAGGCCATGGGGTCATTCTTGCAGTTTCTGAATTATGCTTTCCAAAATGCAAACGGGTGGGCACACCCCTCACTTTAGAGAATGGCGAGTTATGTTTTACTTCTTGCTGAATGTTTGGCTTACATCACTTGGTAATAGGTTTTACGGCAGCCCTCTATTACCATGAAAATGTATGTTCTCTGCAATTCAAAGTAATACATGCAACTTGTAAAAGTCAGGGTTTCTTTTATTTCATACATTCTAATCAAATAGTAACAGCAGTAAATAAACGCTTTGAAAAACAAGGCAGGTATTCCCTTACATCTGGAAGAAAATTAAGCCAAAGGTAATAGTAGAAGGGAAACAACTGCTGATGTCCATGGTTAGACAATTCAAGGACAACTTGGAAATTTCCAAAAGATCAATGGCAATAGTTCTGGGACACAGTTACTTCAAAGGTTAAAATGTCTGTATCAACCTTGGTTTCTATGAACAGGGATTGAATTGCACCTGTATAGGAGGACATTCTTGTCTTTAGCCTTAAAGGAAAAGAGGAAGTCTTTTCCGTTTGCACCAGTTTGAAATAGTTCTGAAATAAGGCTCCCTTAAAGTAGATTACTACAGTACTCATTCACGGAGAGAGTTCATACGTGTAGTAAAAAGACAAATACAGGATTTCATGGTCACTTGTTTTGGCTGGCTTGGTTAATTGCATAAAATAAGGGATAAATACAAGCATGGTCTGTTTAACAAAATACCAAGGTACACCAGTATGCAAAATGTAACACATCCTAGCACAGACTGACGGGCAGGCATTCAGAACTAAAGTCATGCCTGTGTTGGCTGGATTTCTCTCTTTTTCAGTACTGCGTGAGGAGCTCTTTGAGGGGCACTTTACTACCTACTGGTGCCTTTGACCTAATGCAAAGGAACTTCAGAAAGGCAAGATGTTCTGATAAAATGCTCCCTTGGCCTTTACTTTGGGACATTTTATTTTTTGAATTTAAACAGTTCAACCAGACTTGGTCAACCCTAGGAAAAAAAGCATTACTCAGGTAGGTGGAACTATCTAAGGGAACTTTAAATACCTAACTACCTCTTCACGCATTTAAATTAGATTGACTTCAGCTGTTCTTAGCAAGGGTTCTGTGGCAGCATTCCAGATCAGTTACTCAAGTTTTGGTTCTCTTTTACATAGCTGCATTCGGAGAGACTCTAAATGAGGCATGTGTAGAAAAAGAGAAACACTTATACCTGGAATTTATATTCTTCCAAGTAATCTTTTAGTCTGGTTGGTAAAGGCAGTCCCCAGATGGTACCGGTGCATCTGTTAATGGTGAGCCGGCAGAGATGCTGCAGGGACGGTGCGGACGTGTACAGCGGTTTGGTCAGGTAAAGGTGAACGGTCCCGTTTCGGGGGGTTTCCGGGCCCGTCCGCTTATCTTTGCACATCTGCACATAGTAGTCAATCAGGTGAACCACGCTGTCAAACTGTTTAAGCTTGGACTTGACACATATGATAGAATCCAGTCTGAACTTCCCATCCTGGTACTCGATGCGCAGATTAGTTGGTCCAGCTGACGTTTTAACAGATATTGTTAGTAGGTAGTCTGAATGTGAACTATCTCTAATCAAGAAAGTTCCTTCTGGCGCTTCTTTTAATTTCTCTTTGGCTTCATTAACAGTCATACTTCCCCAGTACCATCCTGGGGTTTTTGTTCAGAAAGAAAAAAGAAAAGAGGGTAGAGGTTATTACACAGATTTTTAGAACAGGGTATGTACTTGGCAGTAGTTTTGCCAGCTCTAAAATATATATATATATATACTCATGTCTGTGTGTGTGTGTGTGTGTGTGCGCGCGCACTCACCAGGGGCTATCACAAATATTTTTGGCAGGAATTTCAGTGAAAATTTGAGACCTCTTTATTTCATGAACACAAACTATGAGCTGGTTTCTTCCTTGCATTTGTCTTTCTTTTTAAAACAACTTTCCATAGCCCTTCTTTAAATTATATTAAGACCTCCTTCTGAGCCAAAAGAACATATGCAATTTGACAGACGCTGTCTAACAAAGCGTTATGCTTGTAGTACTGCTTAATTAAAACAAGGACTGAGTAAATGAGAAATATATTAGAAATTAGAAATAAAGAGGGGAACACCCAAGCCCCGCAAAGTAAAAGCAGAAAAGACTTTTCTGGATAGTACTAGTACTGCAAGCACCCCACCACCACCACCACCAAATCTGCTAATGGCAGGGTCTATTTTAAAAGTGCAAGGTCTCCTACAATAGCGCCTGTTAATTGCTTTGATTATAACCGTCTCATCAGTTATTGAGGATGTGAAGCCCCAACTAATCATTAATACTTCAAGTTTCTAATCTTTGGTAAACTCTAGGACTTTGTCCTGATTCAAGTTCAATTACAACAGGCCTGCTCCTACACTTTCTTCATTCGATCAGTCTCAGCCATCGCCCTGGCCCATCCCGTTTTCAGAAATGACTCACAGACACTGTGCATTCAAGAAGCTTGAACAATGTATTCCCCCACATTTACCCAACCTCACCCCCGGAAAAAAATTACTGGGACATCGGTCATCGGCGGGTCTCCAGCTGAGGGAAAGCCCGCAGCCTGCAACCGAAGACGGAAGCGACAGGGAGGAACTTCTCTCTCCCCCTCCACCCACTACTACTGAAACTTTTACTCTGCCTCCAACGCAAGCTTTAGGAACCAAAGTTGGAAAGCCTGATGATGTGCTAAATATTTTCCAAAGATCTTTTTTTTCGACGCTGAACCACGATTAGTGCAGGGCTGCCCTTTTAACCAGCTGTCCCCGGGACGCTGCGCCGGGCTCGCATCCCTCGGTCTCTGCACTTGGCTCCAGGATACCGGGCTGCAGTGTCAGCGCCGCTCGGGAGCCGGACGCAGCCGACTGCGGGAGCGCAGCGCCCACTCGCTGCCGGTGAGCCCTGCAGGAAGGGAGGCGCCTAGCGCTTTCTCTAGCCCGGTTTCCAGCCCGAGCGCCCACCCTTGGAAAACATTGCAAGTTCATCGCCCTAAGAGACAGTGTCGGAGGAGCTCCGCTCGCGCGCTGCCCTCCTCCCAAAGCCTCTAGGTCCCTGGAGAAACACTTTCCTTTCCCATTTCCCACGGATCCGGGGCCGAGCGCTCAGGCATCAGGCAAGGCGCTCATGGTCCCCTGCTCTGGACTAGGGACGGGAAGCCCAGGGACATTCCCAACCCGTTCTTTGCGTCCCACCGCGACCCCACTTTCCAGCTGCGCCTTCGAAGGGGTCCCCCTCTCTCACGCGTTGCGGCCCGTCCGCTCCCTACCTGTGTAACCGAGCTCGCGCAGGGCCTTCGCCAGACGCGCCGCCTCCGGGGACGGCTCTTCGGTCGACCCTGCTGTCCCCCACTGGCTGTGTGTCCCTTCCGCGCCATTCCCGGAGGGCTCGAGGCACCGCAGGGTCATGAGAAAAAGGGTCACCGAGGCAAAGACAGGTGGCTGCCCGAGCTGGAGTCAGAGGAGTTCGTGTGCTTCCTGGCAGTCAGATGGAATCCCAAATCATGCGCCTTCGGGGTGTCCGAAATGGTGGCGGAGCGGGAGGGGATGGGGAGCTACTGGTTCTCTCTCCCCACGTCCTGGAGGACGGATGGTGAAGTCTCCCGCAGACACGGTCGCCCACAGATTGCCTGCAAAGAAAGTGGGGCGGAGGTTGGGTCAGTCCCAACTGGACCCCTGTGGACGGGTGGGGTGGGGACACAGAGACATGAAAAATCTCTGGGACTCCTCCGCCTAATCTGTGCTCCTGCACCATTTAACCCCAAGCATCCAGTTACCGCCCTGGCTCAGCTCTGGAGAAAAGATGGATGAAAACTGAGCAGGCATCCAAAGCGCAAGAGTTGCGCACGGGGGGAGGAGGGGTAGTTGGGGACGGGATGGGGGTGGGCGAAGTATCTTTACGCCCAGGGCTGCAGGCTGCAATCACACGCTCACAGCCTAGGTAAATCAGATCCACCTGCGGGTCTAGTGGGGACAGGCCCTTTTTAAGGACAAGTAGAAAAAAATAAGAAAAGTACAGTAAAGCTCCCCAAACTGGTATTTCCATTCCAGCCCGGGAGGCTGCTCGCTTCCTCCCACCCCGCGGCCCGGGGCGCGTTCCCGGTAGGGTGCGGGCGCCGCCGCGCGTCGAGGCGGAGGCTCCCAGACCCGGACCGCGGCTGCCGCTGTGGCCGGCGCGGGCGCTGTCGAGGAATCGGCCGGAGCGCGCAGCCCCCGCAGGAGCTCAGGGCGCGGCCAGGGCCGAGCTAAGAGGTGTGAGCGCTGCGGGACGCGCAAACTGCCTACGCCAGCTCTTACCTCGGCCCCGGCGGCCGCCGCCTCCGCGCCAGGCAGCCTCCCTGGCAGACTTGGGGGCGGGGGAGCCAGGAGGAGCGGGGAAAGGAGGGGTGTCCGTCCGAGCTTTCCCGTTGACGTTTAATTTGGGAACGAGATGCCTGGGGATGTGAGGGGCCCTGCACGCGGCGGAGGCGGCGAGACTTCTCGGCACACCGGGCGGACACCGCCTCCGCCCCACCCCCAGCACCCCGGGCTCCGACAGCCCGTACCCCGGGCGGCGGCCGGGTTTCCCCTCGGCGGCGACCGAGGAGGTGGGAAAGAGGGAGGGAGGAAAGAGCGAGGGCGGAGGCACGCTGGCGGGGAGGAGCGGGAGATCAGGTTATTAGGATTATAAATTTGAATGACCATTTACGGGGAGGAAAAAACAAAAAACTCCGGAGACTCCCCGACGCCGAGAAAAAAACCGCGAGAGCAGGCAGTCGCTCCCCGCTGCGGGCAGAGCCGCGGCTGCAACTCCGCCCGGCGCCCCGAACTGCGGAAGCCGAGCAGGCAGCCCGCCGCGCCCCGCACCCCGCCGCCCTGCCCCCTTCCCGTCCCCTCCCCTCCCCCTCTCGGGGGTGGAGCCTCGGGGCTCCCCCCGCCAGTACCTGCCGCGGGCGCCCGCGCTCCGGGCTCCGGCGATCCTGAGGCTGCGCGCCCGGAGGCCCGGTGCTCGCTGGCGGCGGCGGCGGCGGGTCGGGAGGCTCATGCTTCGGGGGAGCCCAAGGCCCGCGAGCCGCGGCGGCGGGGACACTTGGCAGGAGTTAAAGGCCTGTCCCGGAGGCCGGGTGTGAGCGCGACTCCCCGGCCCGCCGCGCCTCCCGCGCGCCCCGCCTCCCTCCCCCGGCCGCGCTCGCTCGCTCGCGCCCCGCCCGGCGGCTGCGGAGACCGCTTTCCAGGAACTTTCCAGGAATCCGCCTCACGTGACCGCAGCCCCCGCGACCGCTTTAAAGAGACTCCGGCGCTAATGCGCAGGCCTCCGGGGACCCGCGCTGGGAGCGCGCGGGGACCGGCCGCGGCAGTGTGCTCGCCAGGGGCTCCGCCCTCCGTGACCCCCACACCGCGGGGTGCTCGCGGGCCGGCGGGAGAAGTTCCCGGCCGCGGCCGACGCCGTGTGGCGGCTGGAGCTCCCCCTACCCTTGTCGCCTAAGCACCGGGGGCACAGACGGCAGCCACCTCGCCCCTCCCGGCGGGAAGGGGGTGTCCTTCTTTGCATCCCCCCGGCGCGCCCCCTCCGCTGGACCCTCCGGGCCGCACGGCCGGGGGAAGGGGGTGGTGCGAGAGAGGACTGAGGTCCTCGGAAACCGAGCTCTCCCCTTCTGTCACACTGATCGGGCGAGGGCTGGCCACTGCCCAGCTCAGTGCCCACCCCGGGATCCTAGAGGGGGGGCAGCGACCCTCCGGCCGGGCTCCGGGGAGGCTGCGTCCGAACGGAGAAAGGCGCCTCCTTAAGGCGCGCGGGCGCCCTCAGTCCCCTCCCCCTGGCCTTGGCTCGCCGCCGGCCCCGGCTGCCCGGCCCTGCTCCCTCCGTTTCCTCCCTGCTCCGTTTCCTCTCTTCTTCCTCGGCTGCGCTCTGCAGCCGGCTGCCGGGGCCCCGCCGCTCGCCTGCCGGCTCACCTGCGCTCCTGCCCCGGAGGCGCCTACCTTAGTGCGGGCGGTGGGCCTCGGCGCTCTGGCCCGGAGAGCGCGCGTCGCTGTAATCCCTGCAGAAAGGGCGCCCGAGGACCCGGAATTGGGAAGGATCCCGGCACCTCTTTCCTTCCCGGGACCTTCACCTCTCACCCCGTAGGAAGCCACCTGGCTTTAGTGGAAACTCATCTTCCTAGCTGTACACCCGCCCCCAAAATGTGACCTACTTTAAGTGTGACCTGTTTAATTAAAAAAAAAAAAAAACATTAACACTCATGGGAAAACAGGATCCAAAATTTCGATAACCATTTTTCTTTGAATTACTCGATTGCATCACTGCCCAAAAGCTTGAAAGGTCAATGGCCATTTTTAGAGAAGCAGTGGCTCTGGGGAAGTTGGGGAGGAAGGCGAGAGGGTGTGGGGAGGTGCGGCTCGTAAAGCTTGCCTGGTGCCCCCCCTGCCGGCTCTGGGAGGAAGCTTGCGCCGGCTCCCAGCCTGGCTGGAGTTGGCGACCCATGTTTTTCTCAGTAATTTTCCTGCTTTTTTGATAGGCAGGCGAGTCCAAGAAGAGGCATTTTCCCCGCGAACAGAAGGTTTTGCCCCTGATGGAGTTGTGTCCTCATCGGAATGTCTCCCAAGCTGTGTTCCGTGACCTCCCAAAAAGCAGTGGATGGTGTTATTAAACCTAACCTGGAAAGCTTCTAGATATATTTGACTTTCCAGAGACGTTCACAAAGGTCCAAGGCCTGTTGTGATGGCATGCTAAGCAGGATGGGCAGAAGAAACACCTACTGGTAAATCACAAACACCACTCCTGGCTTAGTCAGGAATTCTGAGAAGCAGCAGCACCCAGAGCGAGCACCTAGCGAACCAATCTGTAGGTTGGCAATCATGGGCGAAGCCAACCTTTACCAAGAACATGTGGCAGAGATTCAAAAGGCGGGGCTACAACTAGTCACCTCCACTTACCGCAGGAGAACCTCGGTATATGCAGGACAGCCCGGCTGCTCATGCTGGCGGGCGTCTTCTGCTATCCTAGTGTATTACATGTAAGCAAATTCAGGCTGAAGTACATTAAGGTAGTTATCTCTGTTCTCATAGACAGATTGTTCTTTGGAAAACAATAGAGGGTTTAGTGTGAACAAAGGTAACATTTTACATGGAAAAGAAGCCTGGGGGAGAGTGACTTTAAATAGGCCAGTTAAATCATGGTAAGTACAGTTCCACCTAATGAGGTCTGCGTGTTCTCAAAGATTACTTACAATATTTAAATAGAGTCCAAAGATAAAGACTTGAAGGGGAAAGTTGAGTCCTTGCTTTCTTTGAAACTGTTTCTGATCCCTGGTACCGATAAAAAGGAAAAAGACAAAAAAAGAAAAGAAAATGTTTCTGGTCAAGAAATTTGTACATTTCAGCATGTGCCCAAAATTCTAAAAATAAACACTAAGATCTTGCTGCTTGTAAAATACACACCAAAAACAATCTATTCAGAGATAGCTTTATGAACATTATAGCAGTAAGTTCACTAAATTCTGTCATTTTTTCATTTGGCTTTTTCCAATTATTGTGGGGAAGATTTTTTTTTAATTGAAAAAAATCTCCTAAACCAGTTCTTTGTTTTCCTCTCATTTTAAAAATCTATCCTTGAAAGAGTAAAATTTAGCCAGAGATTTAGCTCAGTGGATGAAGTGCCTTCCTGGCAAGCACAAGGTCATAAATTTAATCCCTGGTACAAAAAAAAAAAAAAAAAAAAAAGGAAAATTTGTCTGGCAACACCACAAGGCAATTCTTTGTCAACATAATATTTTTAACACAAGGTCTACAAGTGCTTTCAGTTCTTCCCCAAAAAGTTCCCCTGCATATACTCACTGAATTGTACTGTACATAGATAAATTGTACTGTGGTCCACTGATATTGAATTGACAAAATGGCAATGGCCTAATATGAAAAGAACAAGTAAGTAGACAATCTCTGCTTTAGTCTGGTTCAATAATGTACCCTATAAGGCACATATGTTTAGACACGGGGCGTGTTTGAAAGTGATTGCATCATGAGGGCACTAACCTCATCAATGGTTACATTTACTGCTGAGTTGATAGTCAAGGGGACTATTAGGAGGTAGACTTAGCCAAAGGAAGTAGATGAGTGGGAGCGTGCTGTCTGTTTCCTGGCTGCCATGAGGTGAGCTGATTTCCCTGCAATACCTTTTTACCATGATGCTGCTTCTGCCTTGGAACAAGCTGACCATGGACTGAAACATCAGAAACACAAACTATTCAAGAAGAAATGAGTGATTTGTATAGCTTTATTTCTATTAAGAAAAAAATGCTCTAGGTTTGGAGGAAGACCTTGTTGGTAAATTCTGCTGAAACTTTAATGAAGAAATAATACCTACCCTAAATTAACTTTTCCAAAATAGAAGTAGGATCACTTAACAACTCCTGTTAGGGTTAGGGTTAGGGTTAGAGTTAGGCTTAGGGTTAGGGTTAGGGTTAGGGTTAGGGTTAGGGATACCAGCATTATCTGAAAATCTAAGAGAGATGAGACTGAAGAAAACTACAAGCCTGTGTCTCTCATGAACATAGCTATGAAATATAAGCAAGCTGAGGTCAGAAACATATGAAAATGTTAATATATAAGGATTTTTTGAATATATTCCATGAAAGGAAGACTGATTCAATATTCAAAATCAATCAGTGAATCCCATAATTTCAACAGATTAAAATAGTAAAATATAATCATCTTAATACATGGCAAAAAAGCATTTATAAAATCAACATCCTCTTATATTGAAAACAGTTTCAGGCATTGGGGCTGCTTAGTGTGCATGCTTACTTGGTCAAGACCTGGGTTTCAACCTCTGGTGCTATGAAAAACAAAATAGCAGAAGCAGGAGGAGGAAGAACAGGAGGAAAAGGCAAAAAGCAAACTAATAATAGAAGAAAAGGTCCTCAATCTGATAAATCTTATTTATAAAAAGAATCTAATAATAGCATCATTTTAATGGAAAAAATTAAATACTTTCCCCTTACAAATTTTGTTTTTTGAGATAGTGTCCTGCTATGTAGTCCAGGCTAAGTTTGAACTCACTATGTACCCTAGACCGGCCTCAAACTGGTGATGATCCTCCTGCCTCAGCCTCCTGAGTGCTGGGAGTAGAGGTTTGCACCACCATGGTGGTTCCTCCTATAAATTTTTAATCAAGCAAGAATGTCCATGTTTTCTTACTTCTTTTCATCAGTGTATTAGAGATCCTAGATAGTACAATAAGATAAGAAAAAAATTGAATGTCTAGGTTGGAAAGGAAGAAGTAAAATGTTTCTTGGTTGCAAATAGCATAATCTTTTACATGGAAATTTCTCAGAATAAAAAATACTAAAATAAATATGTGAATTTTGCCAGGTTTCACAATACTAGGTAATGCATTACATGTATTATGATAAAGGTAATGTTTTATGTAGTACAGTAAACAATGGGAAATTGAAATGTTAAAAATACCACTTATAATAAAAATATGAAGTACTTATATACAGAGTAAATAAAAAACTTTTACAGCTCAATAAAAATATTTTAAAATCTAGTTTTAAAAAGTGATCACAATGTTGAAGAGATCTGATCATTGGAGAATGTGTTAAATGTAAATTATGCAATTAAAATATGCTAACTTGAACTTAGGAAAATGTAAATTAAAACATGACATGACACCATTGTATGCCCACTAGAATATCTAAAATTACAGTAGTATTAGCAAATTATTTGCAAGTTTATGAAACAACTAAAACTCTTTTATATTATAGGTGTAAATGGAAAATGAGAAAGTTGCTTGAAAATAGTTTGACAGTTTATCATAAAGTTAAACATACACTTGATCATATGAACCCAATGATACTACGCCTAAGTATTTATGCCAGAGAGATGAATTCATATGTCCATGCAAAGACCTGTATGTTAGGACTCATAACTTTTTTAATAATAGCTCAATGCTGAAAACAGTCCAGATGCACTTAAACAGGATATTTGCCCTAAATCCAGACCACTTGATAGCAGCCATAAAAAAGAACAAATCACTGATACTGAACTAGTCTCAGAAACATAAAAAGCTGCTTACCACATGATGCC